ATAGATGCCCCTGAGGCTTGCAGGTGAGGCAGGCAGCATGCTGTCTTTGGCCCAGTGCTGTCCCCAGCCTCAGAGACCATCTTTGGGAAACGGGGAAATATGCCTCCCCCCACCCCGGACACGGTATGACAATGCCCAGTATACAAGGTTGACTCTAAGTTTACCTCAGAAATTGTGTTCTGAGGATCACAGTTCCCTCTTGAACCATATGGGAAGATCCACCCAACTGACTGAGTTCCGAGAAGGGATGGCGTCCCCACCGTCATGAACGGTTCCTCTGAGAACAGCTGAAGTGGACAGGGATGAGGTGGAGAGTCAAAGTCTCATTTTGGTTTTTTGGCTTTTTAAGACAGGGGTCTTACTGTAGAGCTCTGAGTGGCCTATGTAGACCAGGCTGGCCTCAAACTTAAGATAATCTCCTCCCAGGTGAGGAACCACAGGGATGCACCAACACACCCAGCCTGAACTTTAAAGAATTTTGGCTTAACCAGATTTCCTTTCTGTTTCCAAAGCTAAGGCATTTCCTATAGATGGCAGAGTTAGTTTCCCCTTGGTAGGGGATCCCTGACCTCAGCTTACACCTTCCTGGCTTTCGAGTCAGCTCTCCTGTGGAGGAAGGCTCTCCTAGTTTGCTTCCATGTTGCCATAAACACCGTGAGCAAAGGCAGCTTGGGAAAGAAAGTGTTTATTTCGGCTTAGAGGGTATAGCCCTTCAGGAGGGAAGCCAAAGCAGGAGCTCAGGATGGGTGCTGAAGCAGAAATCCAAGGAAGAATGTTTCTGACCGGCTTGCCTTGTGTAGCAGAAATGAGCTACATTTCTGCTGTAGTCCAGGTCCTCCGGCCCGAGGATGACACCGCCCACAATGGGCGGGGCCTTCCTACATCAGTTAGCAGTCAAGAAAGTGCTCGATTGTCCAATCTGATGCAGGAGATTCCTCAATTGAGATTCCCCTTCCCAAGTATGTCTAAGTGTATATAAGTTGACAAAGACTAACCAGCATGAGGCCCACCAGGTGCCTTGTAATACCATCAGCAGTCAGCGATGGTTCATTAGACTGTAATTAATCAATGAAACTCAGGATGAGAGCCCTTCACTTTGCATACAATAACAGTTCCATTTATGGCCCACGTGACAGACTCTGCTTAGCCTAGAGCCTATAAGGACTTGAACAGCACTGGAGCCAGGAGGAGGAATTATTGAGATGGGGGTTTGACTGTTGGGCTGGGTCTGAAATGAGAGAGGGATGAGAGGGGCTTTGAATGGGATTCTACCTGTCTCAGGTCAGCCCCTCCCCTCTTTAATGACTCCCGGGACACAGCTTCTTGTCCAGCAGGTCCACGAGGCTTAGCCAAGTCCACAGGAATCAGCCCTTTCCCTTACTTTATGTGACCTCAGAGGACCCTGAAGGTGGGCCTGGAATAAAGAAAACTCCAGAAAGGACTCACTCAGGAGGCCCAGAAGCCTGACTGTTCAATCCTGTGACTTGCTGTGAGCCAGTTCCTGACCTCCTCCAAGTCTGCAAGCCTTCCCTGTGGAAAGGGTCCTCTTTCTGGAGACATCTCTGTGATCCCTGCCTCCTGCAGACACCTTCCCTTGCTAGCCGTGGTAGATAACCTGAGAGACAGGGATGCAACCATTGACCCACACTGTAGAGGCTAGCTCAGTAGCTCCTACCTCTGTTGCAGAAGATTGACTGACCTTCAGGAGAGGGCTTCAGGCTGCTAAGTGCCTTCCAGGAGGAAGGTAGACTTGAGGCCTGGGAGTCTGGCTGCCACTTGCCTCCTAGAAGATAAGGAACCTGGTATCCGTGGCTCAGGAGCTGACTTGAAGGAGGCTGGTGGGTGGCAGGGTGAGGGGCAGTGGTTTCCTGATCTCAAGATAGTCGGGCCCACCCAACCACACACCTGGCAGTTGACCTCAAGAACATCTAGTGTGAACCTGTCTTCCCACCTCCCTCTAGGTTCTCCAGGAAAGCCATCAACAGAGTCAGAGAGGGCCACTCTGAAGGCTAGCAGGCCCTTTTGTCTGCCATGCACCCAGCTAAAGATCTGCTTGAAGGTTTCCTTCCTGGTGTTTCTGGGCACATGGCTTTAGCCCTATTCATCCCACTAAGAGTTCCCTAGGACTTCAGCAATGAAAACAGAATGAATTGGGGCCTTCCCTTTGCTTTGCTCTCCTGGTGGGCTGTCCTGGGATTGGCACTGAGGAAAAGACAGGCCCACTGTGCAGTTTGCTTTGAAGTTCTAATAAGACAAGGAGGCCCAAAGGGCTGTGGGCCAAGTGGGGGAGACAGGTTCAGATGGGACTAGAAGACAGCAGAGGCAGCTGGAGAGTAGCAGACAGCCGGGAAGGTAAGGACAGGGATGGAGAGGGTGAAGGGGCACCGGAGAGATGGCTCAGTCAGCAAAGCACAAGCTGAGCAAGCCTGAGGATCTGAGTTCAGATCCATCTCCAGTACCCACGGCAAAGCCATGCTGCCTGTAACCGCAGTGCTGGGGTGCACAGACGAGAGGATGCTTGGGCCTTGTTGGCCAGCTATCCTGTCTCAAAAGAGGGAGATACCTACAGTCAACTTCTAGCCTCCATACACATGAGCATACTCATACATACATGCACACGCATGCACATACACACATCAGGGTGGCAGGGGAAAGAATGGGTATAGTGGGGCATACAAACTGAACCAATGTGTATGTGCAAACATACAGCTCTCTCTCTCTCTCTTTTTCTCGCTTTCCCTCCCTCTCTCTCGGAGGCTAGGGGTGTGGAGGTGTGGGGGTACGCATGCTCCCCAGCCTTCATCCATGTCTGTTGATTTTCCACATCTCCATCCCCCAGCAGTAACCCGCATGAAGCAGGCACTGCATTTTCCCTTAGTCATGACCTTGAAGGAAAAACCAAAAAGCAAGAAGCTTCTCATTCCCTCCCACGCACAGCTGTACTTGAGTTTGGCCCCTCACACTATGCTGGGTTGGGAACTTCAGGCCTGGAGTTTGTCAGACACATTCCTCTTGTACCCTGGGGGGAGTTTGGGACACAAGGTGCACCCCTCTGCTACACCGAACCCCAGTCCCTTCCTCCTGAGACTGAACTAGGTTTGAGTACTGAGAAAAGAGGCACCGGTTCCTCTAGCCCCCAACTGCAGCCGCTGGGCTGTTTAGCAAGGACAGGCCTTTGGAGACAGGAAGAGAGGAATCTGAAGCCTTGTAGACAGCTGAAAGGGATGTAGGTCTTAGAGAGGGCCTCCGGGGCCTGAGGTTGTACAGGAAGACCTGAGCTCCCTCAGTTCCTGGGGACCTAGAACTCCACCAGGGGCCGAGATCACAATGCAGAATTGGGACTGGGAGTCCGGAGTCAACTGGTCTATTCTGGAAGGAATCATAGCACTCTCCCCGCCCCCAACTCCAGTTCTAGATTCTCCTCAAGGCCCAAAGGAGTCAGTCAGCTGTGCCAGGAAAAGCCATTACCCTGACAGACTCCCCGACCTGCTAAAAGCTTCCTCCTCCGCCCCCCTACCCTCTCCCCTGGGCCTCCCTCCCCTCTTCCCTTCATCTCACTCACCTACCCTGACCACCTCTTAGTTAGGCTGAGGAGACTTAACTCTTTGTGGTCCTAAGGGAAAGCTCTGTCTAACTTCCCTCTTGTTTTAACATCTGACTTGTTCCTGCAAAGTCCCTTGAGCTTGAATGGAGGAGGAGAGGACGGGAGCTGGAGGGAGAAGACGGGCTGTCAAGGGGCAGGTCACGGTTCCGATCTCAGACCTGTCACTGCCATTCTCACACCCTTGGTTTTGTACTTTCTACACATGGAGTCACTTGAAAATCCCTAAGAGGCCCCAGAGATGAACCAGTGTGGGAGCAGGTGTGTGACATGTGGCTTGTAGGAGGGCCTGCCTGCCTTTCTGTGTGTCCTCGGTGCACCCACATTTCCAGGACTGCTGTGCTGTCTTCCTCTGCCTCTGTCAGAGATACAGAATCCCAGTGCGGGAGGCCTAGGTGTCTCTGTGCGTTTACATCGGTGTAGTGGGCTGGTGGCAAAGCCCGGGAGCACTTAAGTCTCTGGCTTTGCAGGTGCAGCTATTAAGAGAGAGGACGGAAGTGTAGAATGGCAGGAAGAGCTCATGTGGCACCCCTCAGTCAGCCATGATCACAGAGACAGGGCAAAGGGACGGCAGAGAGGGATGCACCAGACTTCCTCTGCTGGGTGTGTGGTGTGGCTCCCCTCCTACAGACTGGGTCAGGGACTGCCCCTCCGTGATTGCCGCAGTCCTGCAGCAGCACCATTTACAGCCTGATACAACACAAGGATGTTAACTCTTTCCTTGAGCCATTTAATGGCCCTGGATCTTAGGACACTCATCTCCTGCACCTATAGGCTACACTGAGCTGCAGAGAACCCCGGCTACTGCCTCACCCGCAAGCCTGCCCCTGAGAGCCTGAGAGCTCAGGGGCCAGGAAGCTTCCTCTTCTGCCCTGTGCCCAGCACCCAGGGTCCACCCCAGGGTTCTGAACACAGTGGGGAGGGAAATAGTATACCACACTGACAGGGACATCTGGGCCAGCCTTGGGACTCTGGGCCACACACTTAGAGAAATGAAAGCCAGGAACGAGCAGCTTAGGCGGGTGGCACAGGGCCAAGGTTATCCAGAAGCAACCTCCCATGGTACAGACCTCCAGAGAAGAGGGTCCAGATGGGGTCCCGGCATAGATGCACCTGCCAGGATCCCTCTTTGGCAAGGGGAAGAAAATCAGATAGCTTTTTTTTGAGCTTCCGGCTCCTGCACCTTAAGCAAAATCCTCCATAGTGGTCAGCAAGATGGGGTGGTCACCAGACAGAACAGCTAAGGGGAGAAGCCTGGCATGCATTGAGCCCAGGATGGCATGTGGGTCTACATGGGGAGAGCTGCCCACTTTCTGTCTACTCTCTGCACAGTGGAGCCCAGGAAGGGGTCACAGCAGGCAGGAAGGCTGCTTCTAACTCAAACGCCCCTCCTCTCCAGAAAAACCACATCAGAGGAAGCCACCTCTCACAGCCCCAAAGCAGTGACCTCTGTGACCTCAGAACCCACCAGAACACCCATCTGGGGGGACACAGTGAAAGTGGAGATCCAGGCAGAGGATGCAGGACAAGAAGGTGAGGCTGGGGGCTTGGGGCTAGGGGTTGGCGTGTGGGAGGGGCAGTGAACACAGCCCTACCCGCCATGGAAGGCAAAAAGTGGGCTCCTCCCTACACAGCTGGAGATCACCTGAACACCTCCCTGGGCTCCGATAAAAAGCATTTGAAAAAGAAAATCATAATCCCATCACGCCTCATCACCCCCAGCCTGCTGGAAAAATGAGTTGTTCCACATAAATGAATTTTCCAGACAATGTGAGCTTATCGTTTTTTATGGCAGTTGTTATTATTTTCATGGTTGTTATTACTGCCATGTCCCATGGAAATGCCACTTTATAGTCTTGTAGCATGTCCCCACACATCCATCATTAGAGTCACCACCTCCTAAGAGGAGCTATGCTCTTAGAAGAGAAGACTAAGGCTTGGGAATTTAAATTACACAAGTCCTGGGTAAGCACTGATGGACCAGGCAATATCACTGGAGCTCCAGGCTCTATCTGACTTTGGGTTTGTTTGATTAACACCTCTAGCTAGAGTGGATCTTTATCCCTGGCCAGTCTTCCCTTGGTCCTAGACCAGATGCTTGCAAGTGTGCCCTGTTGTTTCTCACTGTGAGACAATCTAACGTCTACCCTCAAGTGAGAGGTTAGGCTGGGCATATCAAAGTACTGGCTGCTGATGCCAGAACTGATTGGGAACACTGGCGCTGGGCAGCCTTGGAGCATTGGCACTGGGCAGCCTGGGAGCACTGGCGCTGGACAGCCTGGGAGCACTGACACTGGGCAGCCTGGGAGCACTGGCGCTGGACAGCCTGGGAGCACTGACACTGGGCAGCCTGGGAGCACTGGCGCTGGGCAGCCTGGGCACAATGGCTCTGGGCAACCTGGGAGCACTGTCTCTGGGAAGCCTGGGAAGACTAATGGCACAGAGCAGAGGTCCCTTGCCATGTCCCTGGACTCAGCTAGTCAGATCAGCATCTTTACTTCTTGCAGGTATCTCTAGAAGAGACAGCAGGCTTTACTGTCCTTGTTCACCTCCCAGAGCCAAGAGCTGACTATCATGAGACCGTGGGAGGGAAAGAGGGAATGCAGTGGACTCCCACCCACAAGGAGAAGGCTAGCTGCAGTCAGGCAAGGAAATAGTTTCCTTCCTGTAAAGGGGGAAGCGGAGCTGTGGGAATCCTTGGAAAAGGTGTGGAACAGAAGCAAAAACAGTCCTGGGATTTCACAGATACACATGTGTGCTTGTACATTCACACTTTGTGGGGATCTGTGTGCTGGCTTGTGTGTTTCTGTAAATGCCATTGCATAATACTGCTGTCTGTGCTATAGTCTCCCCTACCCCGTTCTCTCTCTCTCTCTCTCTCTGTGTGTGTGTGTGTGTGTGTGTGTGTGTGTGTGTGTGTAAGCTAGTAGGGGTGGTAGGTGGACCCTGCCTTCTGCCATGCACAGCTGGAATGAAATGAGGGAGGACGTGACATGGTCAGTGGTCTTGAGTCTTTTGTATAGCCAGAAGCAGGACTAACTGCAGGAGAGACAGGAGGGGCAGGAGGGTGAGGAGGCCACACGAATCAGAGAATATTGGCAGGCACCTCTTTGCAGACTAAAGTCGCTTGTTGGAACCTAGTTGGAACTGGTTGCTGTGGTGATATCTACAGCGGTAGGGAACTGGGGGCCAGGCCAAGAGGCAAGAGGATTGGGTGGGGGAGGTGGCTCGAGGGCATGTTGATGAAAAGCAAAGGGGAGTTTTAGACCCTGGATCAAGGCCAAAGTGGGCGGGTAACCAAAATGGCTTGTTGGCAACACAAAAGGAGTGGTGGGAAGCAGAAAGGCTCAGTGCCCAAACAGGAAGCTGGTGAAGCATGTTTGAAACAAGAAGACAAGATCATGGAAGAAATGGGTGACCATCCCCCCAGTTACAGCTCAGGCCCAGTTTCCTACAAAAACAGGGTGTCCCATGATAGGCAGAGATGTAGGGTCTCATAAATTCCAATTTTTTGGGGGACTCAGAGTCCGTGGGGAGTAGGTAAGTGTTTATAGCTTCCTTGGCTAGTGTTGTTGGACCTTGGCTGGGAGTGCTGGGTTCCCCCTGCATAATCTTCAGGTCTGTTCAGGGATGGGTGATTGTGTGGAGAGCTGCAGATGGTTAACAAGGGTAAACTGATGAGAGCCGGGGTGAGTGGTCCTCATTCATAAGTCCTTCCTCAGAAATCTTAGGAATTGGATAAGATTTCTTTCTTTTCTGTTTGGTTATTTAAAGTATTAATGTTATACAGAAGCCCAGAGGGAATAAATGACTTCCTAGAGGCCAGAAAGCAAATTAGCACCTTAGTAAAAGAACCCAGATTTCCTGACTTCCAATCCTGGAGGTACTACGCTTTCTTCTGGTCCGTTGCAAGCCTTCCAGTGCCTCTTTCTTTCTGGGTTTGGATCCCATGCAGCCCACTCTTGGCAAGTGGCTTCCCCTCTCTGTGCGTTCAGGGTATCTGTAAGGAAGACTGAGAAAGAATAGCTTCCTACCCTCTGGTCACCCCACTGCAGGTGGGAGGAGTGCACAGGGCTGGGGCAGCAGCTGTTTGTGGTGCTCAATTGTCCTCTAGGGAAGGGCACCCCTCAAACAAACTCCTTGTTCTTTCTTGCCCATTTTTCTCTGTATCTCTTTAGATTCTCCTTCTTCCAGCTCCATCTTCTCTCCCCCATCCCTTTATCCTTCTCCTCTGTCCTCATTCCCCACCACTTTCTTCTTCTAAAAAATTCACAGATTTCCAAGAATGGGGAAAATGAAGGGAGTCACTGAATCCAGCTTCCTTGCCACCATTTCCCAGCTGTGGGATGTTGATCCAGTTCCATGCCCCCTTTGAATGCCACAGCTCATATTTTAGAGAGAAAGGTGATGATACTTGCTATAAGAATTCATAGGAATTCTAGCTGGGTAATTTTTAGCATTGTGCCTGGAACACAGCAGGTGCTCATGAGTGGGTACCGTGATCATTTCCAGGATGCTGGCTTTCTCCTTAAAGTTTGTCCTGATTTTAGGAGACGATGTTGTCTCTGGGAAATGTTTACTAAATGGTGTACTGATATTTATTCTAATTTCTTTGGAGCAAAGACTGGAAAAAAATGGCTTAGTGTTTAAAAGCACTTGTTGCTATTGTAGAGGACCTGGACTCAGCTCCCAGCAGGCACATGGCAGCTCACATCTGTCTGTAACTCCATGACTTAGAGTTTCTGTTGCTGTGAAGAGACACTGTGACCATGGAAACTCTTAAAGATGAAAACATTTAATTGGGGTGGCTTGCTTGCAGTTTTAGAAGTTTAGTCCATGATGGGAGATGGTGGCATGCAGGCAGACATGGTGCTGGAGAAGGAGCTGAGAATTCTACATCCTGATCCAAAGGCAACAGGAAGGCTGAGACATGGGGCATGGCTTGAACATATATGAGACCTCACAATCTGCCTCTACAGTGGCAGGCTTCCTCCAACAAGGCCATACCTACTCCAACAAAGCCACACCTCCTAATAGGCCACTCCCTATGATCTTATGGGGGTAATTACATTCAAACTACCAAGTTCTTCTCACTGATCCCCATAAACTTGTAACAATATCATGATGTAAAATGCATTTAGTCCAACTTCAAAAGTCCCCATAGTCTTCCACAGTCTCAACAATGTTTTAATGTCTGAAGTTCAAAGTCTCCTCTGAGATTCATGCAATTTCTTAACTGTAATTCCTTATAAAATAAAAATTTTAAAAAAGCATATCACAGACTTCCAACATATAATGGCACAGGATATACGTTACCATTCTAAAACATAGGAAAGGGAGGACAGTGAGGAAATACTGGACCAAAGCAAGACTGAAAACCAGCTGGGCAGACTCCAAACTCTGCATCTCCATGTCTGATGTCAAAGTGCTCTTCAGATCGCAACTCCTTTCAGTTTTGTTGACTGCAACAAAATTCTCTCTCTCTCTCTCTCTCTGTCTGCTGGTTCCACTCCTGTTAGCAGTTTTCCTCGACAGGTATCCCACAGCTTTGGCATCTCCAATATCTTGGGGTCTCCAAGGCAATCCAGGCTTCAACTTCACAGCTTCACACAATGGCCTCTCTAGGTCTCCATTCAAGGACACCCCTGACACATGCCTGGCCCCAGCAGCTTTCCTAAATTGCTGAGGAGTAATGAAGGAATATTCTATTACCTCTTCCTTCTATGCTTAAAGCCAGAACCACAGGGCAGAAGCTGCCAAGTTCTGCTGCTTGCTGGTGGCCCCCTTGTTCAAATACATCTTGCCCAGCTTTCTGTCTTCCTTCACTCCCTAAGCTTGATTGACCTGAAACTGGATCTATAGACCAGGCTGGCCTCACACTCTGAGATCTGCCAGCCTCTGCCTTCTGAGTACTGGGATTAAAGGTGTGAACTACCATGTCCAGTTCTAAGCTTTTCTTTATCCCTTTTCACAAGTTGGAAGCTAAACTGGGTGGGATCTTGCCCTGAGGTCACCACTCCCTTTATTCCATGTCTTAATCTGATTTATCTCCTTAAACACAGGATTTAGCGCCTGTCTACTACCTGGTGCCCCCTTTTCTCAATCTGTACATTTTGTATTTTTATTTGCTCAGCTTACTCCTTTTAATTATAAATCTTCATTAGAGTTACTAATAACCACACAACAGAGACTATACTAGGCTGTTTTGAGATTTCCTCTGCCAATGGAATTTATCTAAAACCCTTCACTTTAGCTTTGGGCAGACTCTTTGGACAAGGGTGAAAAGTAGCCATATTCTAAACCAAAATATCATAAGATCAATCTCTAGGCTACATATTACTGTTATTTTCCACACGTTACTATTATTCTCCTCTGAGACATCTTGAGCCAGGCCCCCACAGTTCATCCACTCGCACTCAGCACCACTGTCTTCCATGCTCTTACTAGGATGGCCCATTAAGCAGCACTTAAAACATTCAATTGCTTTTCTAATTCACAGTCACAAGGTCTAGATTCTTTCAAATAAAACCATTGTCAGGTCTCTCACAGTAGTACTCCAGTACCTGTATTCTGTCCTAGTTGGGGTTTCTATTGCTATAAAGAGACAACATGACCACAACAGCTTTTATAGGGGAAAATATTTAATTGGGGTGGCTTACAGTTCAGAGGTTTAGTCCATTAATCACCATGGTGGGACATGGTGGCATGCAGGTAGACATGGTACTGGAGAAGGAGCTGAGAATTCTACATCTTGTTCCAAAGGCAGCAGGAAGTAAACTGAGACACTGGACATGGTTGGAGCATAAATGAAACCTCAAAACCTGCCTCCACAGTAACACGTTTCCTCCAACAAGGCCATAACAAAGCCTACTCTAACAAAGCCACACCTCCTAATAGTGCCACTCCCTATGAGCTTATAGGGGCAGTTGTGTTCAAACTACCACACCACACTCCAGTCCCAGGGAATCTGATACCCTCTCTGGCCTTTGCAGGCACAAAGCTCTTACATGGTGCACATGCAGTCATGTAGGCAAACACTCACTCACAGAAAATGAAAATCAAATTAAACCTCCCAAAAGTACTGAATTTACTTGGAGTAAGCTTCTTTAATTATTTATTTTTATTTTATGAGTGTGGGCAGTTTGCCTGCCTGCATGTCTGTGCCTATGGAGACCAGAAGGAGTTGTGAGATCTGGACCTGGAGTTACCAGTGTTGTTAATTGCCTTGTGGGTTCTGGAAATTGAATCCAGGTCATCTGGAGAGCTGCTAGTACTCTTGAAGCTGAGCCGTCTCTCTAGCCCCATGGAGTAGACTTTTCCTGGTTATTATATTGAGAGTTTTCTTGAATAGATTGTTGTTCTTAATTGAGCCTCTCTTTCCCTACCTAAAACATACAGGACACACTCCTTCCCATTCCGCGTGAAGAGCTGGTGGGAATGCGCCTGACTAAGGGATCTTTGTCCTGCAGGGGGCGCTATTACTGTTGGCCTGTGATACTATGCTTACGTATGTCTATTGCCTTCTGGGACTGGACTTGGTCCTATGTGACCATTCTTGGGTCGGAGGTTATTCACATTTGGAGGTTCTCACAGTACATGACATGGAGCCTTGCCCTGGATAGAAATACAAATAGTGCCTGGGTTTTTATACACATGTGTGATCCTCACATGTACATGTGTCATGTGACTTTCCCCAGGAAAACAAATGTGTTTACCCCACGTGGTGTAGCATGACAAACTAATGATTCCTCTCAAGTGTAGCTTGATGGACCAGAAAGTTTATTTAGGTTACTTCAAGGAAGGACCTACTATCTTAGTCTCCTTCCCTATCGCTGTGATAAAGCATTAACCAAAAACAACTTGGGGAAGAAAGGGTTTATTTGACTTACAGGTTATAGTCCATCAGGGAAAACCAAGGCAGGAACTCAAGATAGTAGCTTAGAGCAAAAATTAACAGAAGAACTCTGTTTACTGGCTTGCTCATTACTTTTCTTATATGGACCCGGCCCATCTGCCTAAGGATGGCACCGCCCACGATGGACTGGGCCCCCTGCATCAATTAGTAATTAAGAAAATGCCCCAAAAACATGCCTGCAATTCAGTCTGATGGAGTCATTCCCCACCTGGTGGTCCTTCTTCCTACGTGACTCTAGTTTGTGCCTACTTGGCAAAAACCAGCCGGTACAATCACAGGAGCATGGGTGGCCCGAAGGCAGCGAAATCACTGAAAAGCTCACCCTCAGCTTGGGAGGCAACTCACAAAAGCGGCATGTATGTGTGAGTGTGTGTGTGTGTGTGTGTGTGGAGGGGGGTGTGGTGTGTGAGTGTGTGTGTGTATGTGAGTGTGGGGTGTGTGTGTGAGTGTGTGTGTGTGTGAGTGTGGGGTGTGTGTGTGAGTGTGGGGGTGGTGGGGGTGGTGTGTGTGTGTGTGTGTGTGAGTGTGAGGGGGAATGTGGTGTGTGAGTGTGGGATGTGTGTGTGAGTGTGGGGGTGGTGGGGGTGGTGTGTATGTGTGTGTGTGTGTGTGAGTGGGGGGGGATGTGGTGTGTGAGTGTGTGTGTGTGTGAGTGGGGGGGGGGGGGGGGGGTGGTGTGTGTGTGTGTGTGTGTGTGTGTGTGTGTGAGGGAGAATGTGGTGTGTGAGTGTGTGTGTGTGTGTGTGTGTGTGTGTGTGTGTGTAGATTCTGGCACAGCTTGCAGGCAGCTCCACCAGAGAGTCCCCTTTTACCAGTAATTGTTGACTGCTGTTATCATCTGGGGTAGGATTGTGAATTTTGTAATTTTCTGAGCCTTTCCATTTCATGGTTTTCCTGAGTTTTCTGAGCCTTCCCCCTCACTCCAGAAGGGAGTGTTTAATTCTATGAAAAGAGATACTCAAGGAAAGGCCTGCATTCCTCCATGCGTTCCAACATCTGTCTGTCTCCACAATGTCCCTTGCCTCTCGCTGTCTCCCATCACTGGGAAAGCTCCCTCCCCTCCTCCACTCTCTCCAGATGTCATCCTGAAGGTGATGGACAGCAACAAGAAAGAGGAGCTGGTGTCCTATACAGTCCCCATTAAATACCTACGTGTCTTCCACCCGTACCACTTTGAGTTTAAAAAGGTAAGCCTACCAAGCCCTGGGCTCAGCCTAACCTCCGCCTGGGTAGGGGAGATCTGACGGGAAGTGCTTTGATGTTCCCAAATGTTCTCTGAGAACAGAGTGGAGGGTGGGCCCAGGTCATGCTCCTCCCAAGCCGGAGATGTGGAGTTTAAGTTTGGTAGGCAAAACATTCTCCAGAATGAACCCTGTCAGGGGGACAGCTGAATACTAACCTGGAGAAGAAATTCCAGCCTCTCAACCTTGGACTAGACTCCTTAGTGCTGATTGGTGAAGGGGAAGATCCACTCTTATTGATCAAGTATTTATTAAACACCTACTGAATGCCTGGTCCTGGACCACAAAGGAGTAGAAGCATCACCTTGCTCTCCTCCAACATGCACTCCAGAACTTTTCCTTTCAAAGGAGAGGACAGTATGAGATAAGATTGTCTGGGTTCCTTCCCAGGTCTGCCACTTCCTAGCTGTGTACCCATAAGAGGCCACTTTACCCCAGACCTCCATTACTCCATAGCGAAGGCAAGACATGGCACCTCTGTACAGGTTCTGGTGTGGTAACGGGTGAAGTGCCCGCACATGGGAAGAACTCAGCGTGGGTAGTTCCCATCCCTTCTCCTTCCCCCAGGCCTTGGCACTCCCCTTCCTGACAAGCAACTCTTCCACTATGATGCCAGAGATCTTTATCTTCCCTGGCTTCCAGGACTACAGAAGGGGAACCAGGGCAGGCAGGAAAGCAAACCTCCTCCCCGAGACCCTGGAGATAGCCTTAGATCTGTCTTCTGCCAGCCCCTAGCCCCCCACCCCCAGTCCTCTGTCCACCAACACCGCAGGCATCCTTATCACATTTTCACCCAGAGAACAGGCAGCAGTAGTGTCTGTGAGGGCAATGAAATATTCAAACGGAAAAGGGGAGATTTATTGGCTGATCTTCTTGGAAGGGCTCCCAGGGACCATGAGCTTTAATTACAGCTGGAGTCCCAGTGGTGCAATGATAAGCAAGTGTCCGCACAGGGCTGGATTTATGACCAGGTTCTGCCCCTTAGACATGCTCCTTCCTATGTATCTTCTGTCTCCATCCTGTCTTCACCCCAAGCAGTCTGAGAAAGCTGATGAAGCCACTGCCAAGACCCGCCTATATGCCACCGTGGTTCGGAAGGGCAGCTTGCTACCCCGCTACATAGGCTGTGACCATACCGCTCTGGAGGTACCAGCACTGGGGGACTGTGGGGACAGGTGGAGCCCTTGATTGCCTCCGGTTGGCCTTAGAGTATGGATCAGAGGTGTCTAGGGAAGAAATCAACAAGGACAAAAGTGATGAGATCTTTCCAAATTAGCCACAGTAGGGCTCAGTGGGTAAAGTGTTCGCATGCAAACCTGATGACATAAGTTCAGTCCCTGAAATACACACAGAGAACTGACTCCGTAAGGTTGTCCTGTGGCCTATTCTCTCTCTCTCTCTCTCTCTCTCTCTCTCTCTCTCTCTCTCTCACACACACACACATACACACACACATGCATGCATGTAAGTATGCACCATGCACAAGCACACCTCCCACAGACAAACATACCATACACACAATAAGAATAATTTTTCAAAAAATATTTAAAACATAAACAACAAAATATCCAGAATTTGTGAGGACAATTCCTGATTGGGACAAAAGTGCCCTGGTCTCTTCTTCTTGTATTGCCCTTGGATGGAGGAAAAAGGGGCCGAGTGGCAGCTGAGTTTCTTGTGTGCCTGTGTATTTCAGGGAGCAACAATAGGCTCCCTTGGATTTTGCACTGCTAGGAACAAGGAAAAGCCCATCTTCCATACCCTGGTCCAGTCCCTGGCTGTGTTCAGGTCTGTTCTTTCCTGTTGGGGTAAGGACCCATGACCTAGGGCTTAAGACTGCCAGACAAAGCCTGCCATCTCCCTGGCGCTTCCTGAACTCGGCTGGTCTACTGTTGAGCGTTCACAGCCTCTTTCACCCCTCATCCTCCCAATGGCTATTTATACACCCTCAGCCACTGGGCAGACCAAGCACGAGCCACACCATAACCTCTCACCTTTCAGCCCAGCGACAGCTTCGGAAGGAATGATAGATGCTTGAGGCAGGCATGGCGCAGGCTCCTGGGCCCTGAGCCTTTCCCTAAGCCATAGAGTCCCATCCACAGATGTCTATGTGCGACCCACAGTACTCTGACACTAGCCTTCTCCTACCCCGGCAGATCTGATCTGACCCCTTGCTATGGAGCACCATGAGCCTGGTAGGGCAATAACTGATCTCTAGTCCCATGTCATATCTGGGGACACTGAGACCCAAATGAGTCTGATATAAGAGCCCAGAGATCCTGCATGACATCTCTGCTTCTCCCACAGCCACCCCCCTTGGGAACCAGCAGGCATCTCTTCCCTTTCTTCTGTCTGGCCCCTTTCTAGGACAGCCAATATATGAAACAATATATTACTCCAATATATGAAACAAGGAAAAGTAAAATCAAGATGGCTTTGCTGTCCCCAAGTTTCATCCAGGAAGGAGTCACACCTCCAGGACTGTCGAGCTGCCCCACTCCTGCCTCAGTCTCTGCCTTGTCTAGTAGAGTCTGAGCTACCCTGTCCCCCAGCAGTCCATCCACCCACTCCCTTGTTGCAGTTTACAGACCTTCCTCCTGAATATGTCACAGTTACAGCCACAACAACACCCGTCTGTTACTGATGGTAGACCAGGAGACACGGTGGGAAAAGAAATTGCTTCAGCTACTCACCAGACGATCAGGAGCAGGTGTCCGGGTACCACTGTCTCATTCACCCCTGGCCAGAGTCAGCACACAGCAGGTGTAAATTACCCATCCCCTCCAGCCACACCTGCACCATCCCCTGCAGCCCGCATACCTGTCAGAGTTCTTATGAGCAATAGGGCATGACGGCTCTGCACTGACATCAGAGGCTCACTGGGAGGCTCAGCTGAGAGCCAAAAGTCTCTAAGGATGGGGGCTGGCTGTGGCTAGTGGTGGGGGGCACAAGTCACAAGACTTCACCTGTTTCCTCCTCTCTTCTCCAGGTCTTGGTTCAGGGAGTCAATGAGCCCCTGGTCAACAACCCCAGCCCTATGGTGGTGATTGCTCGGGTGGTCCCCAGCTATACTGAGTTTAAGTAAGTGGGTACAGGTTAGGAGGGAGGAGAGGGCAGAAGGCTGGGATGGGGAAAACTTCCCCTCACCTAAGTTCCCTCTAAGCTCCCCACACACCTTGACTTGAGGCTCTAGTGAGCTTTCCATAGCAGACTTTGCCTTTGTCTTCCAGAAGACCCAAGCCCTGGAAGGGGAAAGTGGGGATCTCTCCTGAAATTTTTGAGCATATAGGGCCTAAAGAACAGGAAGAAGCTGGTATTAAGAAGCCCAAGAGAGGCCCCTTTTCCTGCCCAGGGGCACCTCTGCCTCCCCCAACAAATAAGCCTGCCATCCTAAGCTTACCACGCCATGGTCCCCTTTCCCTGTCAGGTTCAAGGCTTCATTCAGGATCCTGTTGCTGATGGTTCTCAGTAGATGACATAAAGTCATCTGGGAACATTAGTCCTGCTGGGAGGGTCCTCTCTTGGCCTCCTGGAGGAGTCTGTGGTCTCCACTGTTCCCAGATCTCCTTTAGAGTCACAATCTCAGGAATAGGTCCAGATAGTTTGACCACTGAAGCCCAAAGAGGGGAATGTTCTTCAGGCGGCCTGTGTGCTCTGGGGCAGCACCCCTCCTGGAGTCAGCCTTCGCCTGTCACTACTGTCCAGGCTGACTTCCTGACTACCTACGACTCTGAGTGTTTAGACCCTAAAAGCCCCACTTCCTTACTGGAGGAATAACCACTAATGTCCCGCTGCAGTGATAATATCCCACTGGACCCAAACTGCAAACCCGTATGCACGTTCCCCCACAGGCTCTTCAACCCATAAGCATAAGCCAGTATTCCCACAAGTCAGGAACAATTCTGATAAAGACTTTCAAAGATGAGGTGGGGAAGGTAAGGTCACCTTTAAAGATGGTAAAGCTGACTGGCTCTGATATAGCCAAGGTCATCTCAAGTCACCGCTGAGGGAGCCTGAGAGCTACCGTTGTCATCTCCAGACCAAAATAAGCCTTCCCAAGGCTTGGGCCAGAGATCACCAGCTTGTTTCTTATAAGACTTAAAGAAGGTGTCCACTGCACTCACCCCTTCACTTTAACCTAGTCCAGGTGTGAGTCCCAGCTGCCAGGCTGGCCACTGGTCAGACAGTACCAACTCCTGTCTCCTTGCCTCTTCAGGGCCAACCAAGTCAGGCAGGACCCTGCCTCTGTGGGGCTGCCCCTCACCCAGATTTCCTTCCCTATTTCATCACCGATGAACTTTGATGTGCCTCGGGTCAGCCAGAATGGGTATCCTCAGGTATGGCTCCTTCTCACCCACGGCGTCTCACGAGTACACTAGTAACCAACACATTCCTTCATCATGACGTCAGGCGGCAGCTCAGCTGACTACAGAGAAGCATTCACTGCATCTCATTGCTGCCCAGGATCATCTGCTGTGTGCTGCACAGAACCTGCCCTCAGACCTGGAGATAGAACATCCACCCAGATCATATCTAATCTAGTAACAAGCCAACAGGGACTGTCAGAGCTAAGGGAAGCAGAAAAGGGGAGACACAAAGAACAAATATGGATTCCACATGTCGTGGGACACCTCAAATCAACAGTCACAGGGACAAAAAGCACAATAGTGTTATCAAGCGTTGGGGAGAAGAGAGAGCAGGGGGCTACTGGTTTGTGGGTGTGAAACACTTAGGATGATATGTGAACATGCATGTTTGTGTGTGCATGAGTGTGTGTGTGTGTTTGTGTGTAGAACAAAGGTCAACGTGTAATGTTTTCCACTTGATTGTTTTCATATTTTTAAAATTTGGGGTGTGTTGTGTGTTCACATGCCACAGAACACGTATGCAAGTCAACTTGCAGGATGCTGTTCTTTCATTCCACCATATGGGTCCCAAGGATCGAACTCAGGTTATCCGTCTTGGCAGCCAGCACCTTTACCAGTCACTGAACTATCTTGACAGCCCTTCTTCGCCTTATTTTTTGAGACTGCTTACTGAGTCTAGCTCACTAGACTAGCTGGCCAGCAAGTCCCCAGGGACCCGCCTGTCTCTGCCTCTCCGTGCTGGGATTCCAGGAGCTCACCACCTTGCCTAGCTTTTCCATAAGTGTGCTGAGGACAGAACTCAGATCTTTAGCAAGGTCTTCACAAAACTGGTCATTTTCTCAGCCTCCATTAATACCTTTTTAATGAGCGAAAAGGAATGCAGATGTCTGGATGGTTAGGGAAGGCAAGTCATAACCCTTCGCCTTGTTTTTGAGACAGGGTCTCCTTATATACTCTCCGGCTGCCTGCTTTACCCTCCCAGCCCTAGTAAAAGAGACACTTGTCACTATGCCAACTCAGTCATCACTTTCTAGGGTTTTTTTTCCTTTTCAATTCATTATCAATGTATTGATAATTAGGGGGCAACTATATCACAGCACACACGTAGAGGTCAGAGGACAGCTTTGTGGAACTGGCTTTATATAGGTTCCAGAGATCAAACTCAGGTGGCTAGCATTAACAGAAAGTCTCTTTAGCAGTGAGTCATTTCACTGGGCAGGAAAGTATTTGCTTAAATGTGTTGAAGAAAAGGTACACAGGTCATAGCTGGGCCCAGGAAATAGCCAGATGAACCTCCTATAGACTGCACGCCACTCGGAGCTTGCTGTACATGATCGAGGAAGCTTAGAAGACAGGGTGTGCTTGGAAGTCCCTCCTGTCATCTATCCACTAAAATTAGAACAAGACACTCGATTGGAGCCCTAGTTTCATGTAAAGGCAGACATTTAAAGAAGGTTCAGACGCAGGCAGGAGTGATGGTAGGCAGGGAAGGGTGGGATAAAGGGGGGATCATGGGGACAGCTTCAAAATCAAACCAATCCTCGGCCTGATTTCCCCAGAGTCACCTCACACATGGCCCTGCATTTGCACAGAAAATTATGAACCAATCGGCAACTGTCCCAAGGGGCAGGAGGTACTGCCTGCTTTAATGAGTGAGCCTCTCCAGGCCTGACCACTGGCTGTCTCCACTGCCTACTACACATAAAAGGGCAAGGCACTCCTCGTGACAGACTTCTCCAGCACTTTTCCCGTCTGTGGGACTCAAGGCCAGAGCCCAGCAACAACAAGACACTTGCTAAAGGTTACCCAGTATGGTGTCAGATGGACGAGGTTTAAAGCTACATGTAGCCTGTGCAGAGAGGCCCAGAGGCCAACAGGGAAAATGAGAGAGACAGGCTAGGAAGTAAAAGAGTTCCCATCAGGAATCCTGAGCCTGGAGAGTACACAGTCCCCTACCTGCCCCTTCTGAGCTTCATCGTCTTTACAGTTGGCCGAGTGGAGACTGAACCAGATAGTTTCCAGGTCTGGTCGTCTTTGACATCTTGGAGAGCTGTGAGTTTCCCACAACACCCTGGGGAGTGGTTGCTAGACCCAGCAGACCTAGGTTGGAGTCTAGCTCTGTAGCTTGCTAGTGTGTGACCTTCAACAAACCATATGGTTCCTCCAGACCTAGTGACTCCTACCTGACAAGGCGGTTAGACTAACCCAGGCCAAGAGTCCCTTCTGTCTCCTTCAGAGTTTCACAGCCTTTATGATAAGTGCTCCCCCTGAGGCCAGCCTTATCATTGCACCTGATGCCTGTGATGAGCCCCATAGAAACCCCAACTCAGATGAACCTATCTACTGCCATTCATCACAAATAGTCTCGGCATCAGATGCCACACTGTGGTAGGCCTTAAGGACATGATCTCTAACACCTAGTAACGATCTTTCAGGCAACTTACTGCTGCTGGGAGCAAGAGTCCCAGGTCTCTGGCCCAGATATGAGCAAAGGCTAGTAAAGAGCTAGATTTTTATGAGAAACTAGTAAGTAATCCGCCTACTAAGTTCCCAGCCAACCTTCCTTCTGGTGTCATTGGCCAGAGACAGGTCACAAACACTTCCTTGAGCCAATCCCTAAGGAGGGTGTGGTTCTGACTTGCTGATAGCCTAAGTCAGCAGCTGTGAAGAAAGGAGCCACCGGGATAAGAGGGCTCTAGCTTCTGACTGTGAGGCAAGGAGAACAGAACGTACCAGGTCACCCCCAGTCTGTTCCACAGAACGTACCAGGTCACCTCCAGTCTGTTCCGCTCCTCTCCTAGCCTGGTGAGGATGGCAAAACCTGGGCTCTGGTCAATCAAGTGACAGATGAGACACATCCGGTTGGACATAGGCTTGTGAGCTGGACCCCTCTGCTTGCTCCTATTGCTCTCACAGCCTGCAGCATCGGGGCAGAGCTCCCAAAAGTGAAACAAATGGAGGAGGACTATCTGTGCCCGTCATCTCACCCTGCCCCAGTCTCCCAGTCTTCCCAAGCTCTCAGAGCCTTTCCCATCACCCTGGGTTCACTCTAGTACTGGCTGCTCTTCTTGCCTGGACCCTTGTCTCAGCCTTTCCGTTCCAGAAGCAGGTAAGGGATGCCCCACCCTGAACCACAGGCTTCTCTTGGCCCCTTCACCCCTCTCTCACACAGAGCTAAGCCCCGGTTACTGATGTACTGTTTGTCCAGATACAGGAGCCCATCGCTCCAATTCTCACCCAGCCTCGGGGAAGACCCATACACCATTTTCTGTCTCAGTCCTCTCTCACCTACATCCTTGACCTCAACTCTCAGCTCTTCCCTGCCCCAGATTCTTAAGCAGTGTGGCTTTCCCCTCACATACCCTAACTGCTACTACAAGAACTTGATTAGGCCACTGCACGGTGGCAGGAGTGGGTGGGTATTTATTCACATCACAGATATACTCTGTACTCTTGGAAGATAAGCTCTAGGAAGGGGCAGAGTCTGCCTTTAGCTCTCCCGTAGTCCCTGCAACACCCTACAAGTGTCTGTCATGGCGTCCCAGGCAATATTTGCTAAGTTAAGTCAAACTGAACTTCTGCCTACTAGAAAAATGTCCATTGTCTCCTTCAGCCTTGCAAACAGCTTTCAAAGTGTGAAGCACAAGTCATTTATTTGACCAAAACAAAACAAAAAAATGCAACTAAGTCCCAGAGAGGGAAAGGGATCTGCTGTGATCCAAACAATAAGTTTAAAGTGGTCTCTGGGCCCAGAGCCAAGGGTCCTAGCTTGCTGGGAGCCTCAGGCAGTACCAGCCACCAGCAGTTCTTCCTCTCAGCACGACTCCGCTGTGCCTGGGCAGAGCAGACAGCAGTGAATGAGGGTGAGAGCCAGGGTGAGTCCAGGGGAAATAGAAAGAGGAGGAAGGGCCAAGGGCCCCTGGAATGAAGGCTCTGTCCCCAGGGAAGGCAGGTCTGCCTCAGTGGCAGAGGGTTAATGGCTTTTCTGAAGATCACAGCTGAGGGTTAATGATATTCCTTAATTCCAAAGTTCGCCATAGCCTTTCCCATTAGCATCTTCAGGCCATGTCTACCCTATCCCCACCCCACCCCTCACGCCTGCACAGCCTTCAGATCAGCCACTAGCACTTGCATCTTCCCGGGGCTGATAACAGATTTTTATTTAATTGTGAGTCCTACACACACTCATTTGTGTATGAGAGAGGGATGAGAGAGGGAGACAGAGAGAGACAGAGAGAGACAGAGAGAGAGAGAGACACACAGAGAGAGAGAGAGAGAGAGAGAGAATATGTATTATCCGCCCTCCGATATTCCAGGTATGAAGGGCTTTCTCCTAGGGGGCTTACCCTGAGGCCCTTTCAGGGAAAAGGCTGTCCCTCATTGGGCAGGCAGCCACTTACCACCTCTTGCCATGTAGACTCCATTTAGATCTGTTAATAAGTCCCACAGCAGACAGCTAGCATCCATTAAATATCCCTTTCCCAGGATAGGGGCAACAAATGAGGCAGCAGAAAACCAAGTCACAGTCCCTCCTCCCTGGGGGCCTTGGGGCCTGGCAGCTGGCCCAGGCAATGTGGACACCCCCTCTGATACCCGGGATGTGGGAGGGTCATAGCGTGGGGAGCAATCCTAAGAGACCAATACTAAGCTTCACAGAACTCAGACCTGGCTTCTGGGGCCTCGACGACTGACCCTCCCTGAGCATCCACCATGACATCTTAGGGATGTGCCCATGACTCCAGCCACCACATAGTGCTCATCTGTCCATCTCCTTGGGTACAGGGAAAGATTCAGCCAAGCCTTGGGCAAGGCTCCTGACGACCAGAGCAAGCCTACTAGTGTTAGAGACGTGAGAGCCCTGCCCAGTCAGGAGGAGTAGGCCTGCACTGATATTCCTCCATCTAGCATCAGTAACCCCTGGAGTATTTGTGCTGACCTCTTCCTGAGCTTGCTAATCTCCCCAGAGGAGCAAAGCGTAGGATGACTGCCGCTGTGGCTGATGGCCCTGGGCAGGGCAGTGGCAAGGCAGCTCATGCTGAGACCATGCAGCTATTTTCCCATCGTTTATGTGGGTTCTGGGATTTTCCATGAGTCCCCTACCCCCTTCCAGGGTCCTTCGTGTGTCCTAAGCTGTAGGCCTCCTCCACACTCTGTGGCTTGTGTCACTCTCCCACCGGAAGCCCCTCCCCTCTTTTTCACCATGTTACCCCCCTTCAGGGCCTCTTCTGATCCTGCTTCCTTTGAGGTTTAGGGACCACCCGGAGTCCCCCTCATTTGGGTATTAGTCAGTGCTGCCACACTTCATCTTCCAAGCCATGCCCATGTGTGTGCCCCACGTTCCGGAGTCTGAGGACCTGTGTGGCTTTCTGCACGGGTCTGGGAAACTTGTGTGGAATAGGCAGGGGCTGTGGATGTTGGTACAGCACTGAGAAAACACTACACACATCTAGCAAGTACTTTAGAGCTTGAAAATATTTTCACTGAGCAATACTTTAGGTATTTGTACTGAGAAAATGGTCTGGGATGCAGAGGTGTGTGGCAAGGAGCACCCAGCATAGTGTCGTCAGAGGAAAAAAATATGAGAAAATGGGAGAGTGAAATAGCTCAGAGCGTTAAGGTGCTTGCTTCCATGCCTGACAATATGAATTTGATTACCCAAAATCTACCACATGGTGGAAGAAGAAAGTTGGTTCAAGCAAGTTGTTCTTTGACCTCTGCATATGTGTTGTGGTGCACACACACACACACACACACACACACACACACATTAAAAACTTTAAAAGAAGGGAAAATTAGGACAATCGGACATAACACATCTTCTGAGGAAGGTGGACTCTGATGTAACCCAGGCTGGCCTCAAACTTGCTGCATAGCTGAGGTGTCCTCCAACTCTTTATATAGCCCAAGTTATCCTTGAACTCCCAATCCACCTGCCTCTACCTCTCAAGTGCTAGGATTATAGGTCTGTGCCACCAAGCATAGGGTATCTTGAAGTTACTAAAGTCATGAGTAATGGGAGTTTCTTGAAACTCTGGGTGTGCTTCTGTTTTGAATGTAAATAGAAAAGGGCAGAGTGGTAATTAGACATATAAAATGTGTGTGGAAAAAATGGCAACATGGTGGTATTGAGTGACCATCTTTTTTTTCTGATAACAGGGTTTCTCTGTGTTGCCCTATAGATTAGGCTGGCCTCAAACTCAGAGATCTGCCTGCCTCTGCCTCCCAAGTGCTGGGATTAAAGGTATGTGCCACCACTGCCCAGTTTGAGTGGTTGTCTTAATGTAAGGATATAGGAGTTCCCCCTTCCTTTACCATTTTTTGCCTTTTTATAACTGGAACAAACACTTGTAGAATGTAAGGGATACATGTGCAACCAAACCTAGGAGAAGGGATGACCCCACAGCTGCTCTTACATTCTTCCAGCTGTCCAGGCCCGGGGGACCCCCAGAGCAGCCCATGTGGAACCAGTCCTTCCTCTTCCAAGGCCGAGATGGAGCCACCAGCTTCTCAGAGGACACAGCCCTGGTGCTGGAGTATTACCCTTCCGCTTCAAGTAAGTGCCCAGTGTCCCATCAGGGCAGAACTCATCAGGAGAATCTTATTAAGGGACATTTGTACCACCTGCCTCTGCCTCTTGTAAGGACTGCCTAAGGACCTGCAGGAGCCAGGAACCCCCAGTACAGGCAAAGACTAGAAGAAGGTCTAGTTGAAATCCACGTTCATAGGGCAGCTACAGAGCACAGGTCAGGAAATGTGGTCCTATCCCTGCCTGGACACCATAGCATCCATCAGTGAGAAGAGGGTGTACTAGAGAATGGCAGAGGAACGCACACACACATAAACACACACACACACACACACACACACACACACCTTAGAGGACGGAGACAGGATGAGTCAGAAAAATACCTATCTGCTTAGAGTCGCTCTGAACTGATAAATCTCTGAATCTGGCAGAGTGTGCATGAATTAGGGAAAATGCGAGGCAGGGAACCAGGGGCAGTGGGAACCTAGAGAGCTGCATGTCCAATGCCAAGGATGGAGCCTGGGGAATGCCTAAAAACCCATCTAGCAACCTGGACAGCAGGAACAGGAAGTTGTTTTCAGGAGCCTCAGTTGGTCCTTCCTCCCACAGTGAAAAGCAGTGAACCATGGACCCTCAAACATCCCCTGGGTGTCTCCGTGCTACCACTAAAGTCTCGTCTGTACCACAAGATGTTGACAGGAAAAGACTTGAAAGGGCTGTGTGTGAAACGACTCCCCATCACCGTAAGTCCCTACTGTTGGTTGGCCCTCCACATGATACCACCCACTCCTGCTCCATGGCCACACCTATAGAAGGGAATAATGGTGTCTTTTGAGAGGAAAGGAATCAAGACAGGCTTTCTCTGTGTAGACCTGGCTACCCTGGAACTTGCTCTGTAGGCCAGGTTGGCCTCAAACTCAGATCTGCCCACCTCTGCCTCCTGAGTGCTGGGATTGAAGGCACCCAGTTGAATGTGACTTCTTAACAGCCTCTGTCAGGATACCCACTAGGAAAGCCTGCAGGTGGAAGACTGGTCTTCCTGTGAAGCTTGAGAGACAAGCCAGTGTGAGCCCCTGGAAAGCAAACCTGGGGCCTCAGGGGGTAACAGCAAGAGCTCAGGCTTTCCCAGAGCTGGGCCCAAGGCTTTCCTTACCCCATCTTCCTGTCGGACCTGGGGCAGATGATGACCTCTCTAGGCCTCATTTCTCATCTCACACATCAACACAAAACACAGAGGGCTCCACTCAGGCTCTGGGGGGTAGACTGATGGAGCGCAGGTTCCGGCTTCACCACTTGCCAGCTTTACAGGTGACGTATTCCTTTCTGTGGGGAAAATACTATCTGTGCCTCAGTTTCCTTGCCTATAACACATGTGCACATGCACACACACGTACACATATGCACGCACACACATACACATGCACACACACATATGCACACGTATAGCATATGTGCACACACACAGATATGCACACGTATAGCATATGTGCACACACACACACACAGAACCATGCTTGCTCACAGTGTTATGGGATTTAGTCAGGAAATACATAAAGCACTTAGAATAGATTCCAATAATGTCTAGCCTGGCGGAGCTTATAAATTCTGGCTACTCCAGAAACTGAGGCAGGAGGATGGAAACTTTGAGGCTTGTCTGGGCTACAGAATGATTTTGAGACCAGTGTGGGGAACCTTATCTCAAAATAAAAGGTGAAAAAATATTTTAAAAGACTTGGAATGTAGCTTTAGTGAAAGAACACTTGCCTAGTATGCAAGCTTGCAAGGGGAAAGGTTCAATCCCCATTGGGAAAAAATAATTTTATCATTGCTGTATCTATATAAATAGGGTCTCAGGTATCCCAGACTGGGACAAACTTGCTATGTAGCCAATGGTAACTTTGAGTTCTTAATCCCCTTGCCTCCACTCACCAAGTGCTGGGACTACAGGCAAGTGCCGCCATACCCAGCACCATGTCTATTTCTGTGCCTAAATACATTTCCCTAAATACTTCTGACATAACAGCAAGCAGGAACTTCTGCTCTGCCAGAAGATGAGTGTGGAGGTGCCAGTCAGGTGTCGAATGGAGTGAGAAGGGCCGTGTGGAGGCGGTGCTGGAACAGAGACAGAAGGCCAGCTCAGGCGTCCCTCCCACATCTTCCCGGGGAAGCCAGAACAAGAGGTGGAGCAGAGGCCTTGCCTGTGCTGGCCGTGTAGACTCACTGCCCCTTCTCCTCCCCAGGCCACCCACCTAAAAACCATCGACGGAGAGGCCCCCACGGTGAACCTCTCCTTCCAGCTTCTTTCCTCTGAGGTAAGGGTGAGACATGGCCCCCAGAACCACCAAGTGAGTAATGATGTCCTTCACAGAGGCTGACCCTCAGGGATTGGGGTCAGAAAGAAAAAAGAATCTGCAGGTTTATCTAGGGAGTTCTGAGGGGGGTTGCGGCCCCAGGAAACCAGGCAGAGTGCTCCAATTAGGAAAAGGCACGAACAAAGGGCCACAAACTCTGCCCCAACCTAACCTAATCCGTACCAGCTTAACTGGGAGTCAAAGTTCTGTGGGGATGACAGGGGTTCTTTTAGGGGTGCAGGCAGGATCTAGTTTCTTGCAGTGTAAGACTGGTGGCCCTGATTCCTTGCTGGCTGCTAGCCAGGGTGCTCTCAGCTTCTGGAGACCGCCCACAAGCCTTCTTACCAGGGTCCCTGTACTGTGATGCCAGCAGGCACAGCCAGTTCCCAGCACACTTTGAAATTCTGACTTTCTTTTCTGTCAGCAGCCAGAGAAGACTCTGTGCTTTTAAAAAAAAAAATTAGGATCATCATTGTCTTAGGGGCCGCTGTGTCATACAGCCCAACAGAATCACGAAAGCGATGGCTCTCTATTTGGTCATCTAAATATTAAGGTGTGGGGGCTTGGGGACCCATTTTGGGGTACTGCTGGCTATAGCAGAGTTGATCCACGTGGACGGTCACTAGGGCAAGTCCTGCCTGGGGGAGGCCATGACTCCTCTAGCCAGTTCCACTTAGGCTGACTCCAGCTTTGACACAGGCCATGGCTCTAGTGTACCCACTAGTGAAAGTCACTCACTGTAACTTCTCTACTTTCCCCTCTGGTACTAGGGTGTGGGCAACCTGACCACAAATACAGAAAATGTTCAAGAGCTGATTAAGGGCTAATCTAGTCTTGCTAGCTTCTCAGGACAGAAAAAAAAAAAAATCCGACAGCTGTGTGGTAGTTCGGAGCCTCCTGTCCTTACCCATGAAGAATGTGGGAATTCCATGGTATGTGGCATGGGAAGATAACACAAAAGCCCCAGTGTGGGGGTCACCATCATCCTCTCCAGATCCCTCTAATCCCTGCTCACGGCACCCACACCTGTACTCACCACTAAACCAAATGCAAGAGTGAGAAAACCCACAGAGAGGTCACCGAAAGCAAAAGACTCAGGACTGCTGAGATGGCTCAAGTCTGACGGCTTGAACTGGATTCCTAGAACTCATATAAATGTGGAGGGAGAGAGCTGATTACACAAAGTTGCGCTCTGACATTTATGTGTATGTATACACACACACACACACACACACACACACACACACACACACTCATGCTCAAGCTAATAATAACACGTGTGCCATGTATAATAACTAAAAATTTCAATTAAAAAATGTTTCAATCCTAAGAAAGGAGAAGCAGGGAAAGGAAAAATACATCTTTCTACGAGTATCCCAGGCCTTCTCAGGGTCTAGGATCTGTCAGTGGCCACTACCAATCTCTCGCCATCTCCCTCTGCCTCCTGCCTTGCCCCAGGACACATGTACTCTGCAACCAGAGAAGAAAAAAAGAGCTAGGTAGCCCTGGCTGGGAGGATGGTGGGGACAGGCAGGCAACAGGCAGGTGGGTAGGACTTCTCCCCTGTTGCCCAGAGGCTGGGCACAAAGGTCTCCAGTGATGAATTATTCACTGGAACTGTGCTAAGTGCAGAATTAATCCCTTTCCTTCCAGCTGGCGGCCTCACTAAATTATCCCTCCAAGTCATGCGGGAAAACGCTGCCGAATTCATTTAGCTGCTGAGTGTTTTGATCTGGGCCTTGTGATTTTAGTTTTCCCTTTCCTTAGCCCCCTTCCCCTAGAGGTGGGGGGAAAAAACGTTTTAGTAATGGATTTCTAAGAAGAAAGGAAAAGAAAAGAGACCAAGATTGGGTGTGTACCAGAAAAAAAAAAATAGTACTGGCAGAAATACAGACCCAGCAGTCAAGGATTTGTACACAGAAGTTCTACACATGTCTACATGCCCATGCAGCCACGCATGAGTGTTTACACAGCAACAGCCACATATGCACAGATTTGCATGTGCACACACCTCTTCAATGGTGCCTGCATTTAATGCATATGTACACACAGAGGTAAAATGACGGACATTTCACTCCTGTGTCGACACACACAGTCTCTCTGTAGCTCAGCTGTTCCATGGTGATGCCAACTGAGAGCTGGCCAGTAAGTGACTCATTTTGACTCTATGATGTTGAAGATCAAGTTAGGGGAGTGGCTGTGGCGATGCTGGTGTGAGTGGGCTCGTCATCAGGTCCTTGCTGCAATGACAGCCATCTATGTGCTGTACAGATATAAGGAGTATATGACATCTGTCATGCTATACAGATCTAAGGAGAATTTCCTACATGCCAGACACTGGTCAGCTCAAAATTTTCACCGTGTGACCTTGTGGATTGAAGTGGGGGCATGTCCTGGGGTTATAAAACCCGTGTTCCTCAAGGTACATTAATTCTCAACTAGTTTTGGACATGACCCAATTCTTTTATTATCCTCCCACTAAGGGTCAAATGAAGAGTGTTGAGAATTGGTGAACGGGTCAGGTGGTACTTCAGGTAGATCTAAAGGGGTCCTCTCCCTGGATCCCCATCACCTTCACTATACAGTGTCATTATTCTCACACACTTGCTAACAGTATGTGTCAACCCTTGTGTACTGGGGTTAAGAGAGAGTACATTAAACAAGACCAAGAAAAAAATATTTCCCTTTATAGACATCAGAGGATGGAGAATGGAATGAACACATAGGTTCATGAGTAGATACTGGTTAACGATATACAGCCTAATGTTCCCTGAGATGATAAAGTCCAGAGTCCCTGGAAAGGCTATTTGGCATCCCAATCTGAGTAAAGTTGGAGCTTAGCTACTGTGAGAGACCAGGATCCTTCCATCTTGATGTTACACCTTAGAGCAGACTTCAGCTTTGTGGTCCATGCTATACTCCACCACGTGTGGTCTATGGGCCAGTGATGGCAGACTCAGAACAAGGACCACCCAGTAATTCCTCCCAGCACAGCCTAAAAGCTCCAGGAGTCACCACCAGGGACAAAGTGCCAGCATCCTGTGTGCATTCCAGCTGCACAGAGGAGCTCGAGGTGGTAGGTGTCTGGGGACACCTGACCAACACAACTGACAAGTCTGTCCTTGGGTAACTCCTTGCATGTGGCCAGGATGGGCATAGCAAGGAAGGACTTCCTGCCTGAGGGCTGAAGGTTCAGCACAGGTTGTTGTAGCTCCTTGGTCACTTGCCAAGCTCAGTCTGCCATACCCATGGTTTCTGTGGCAGCCACTCTCAGAGATCAGGGACAGGAGTGTGGTAGGATGTCCAAAGGGAGGCAGCAGAGGTCTCTCTCAACAAATCTGGACAGGAACATCTTCGGCCACAACCACCACTGTCGGTGGTTATCCTGCCCTCTCGCCTTGCTTTGCCATGACAGCAAGCTCACTCCCCTTAGCAACAGCCCCGCATGACACAGCAGCTGACTCTGAGAGGCTCTTGGACTGAGATCCCCTGCCTCTCCTGGGTCTCCCCTTGCACCATGCTCCCAGCTTCGCCCTCTGTAGCTGCAGCACACCCCAGCAAACCTTCCGCATGGTTGGCACTGTCAGTCAGCAGGCATGCTGGCAGATTGATCAGCTACCGCAGCCTGCCAGCTCAGTGATTGGCAAGCATTAACTCTGGGTTGGAATATTATGCTTCAGAGGGGATTGTCAGTGGCGGGGGTGTGGGGGTGGGGGTTATCCCGATGTATTGCTTCTCTGTGGGTGTTTGCTGCCTCTGTAGATCTGTCTGAAGCTGGAGTTGTATTGTAGGAGACTGCCTGAACAAAACATGCAGGCGTGTGAACTCCAATACATGCGCCCGGTCCTCTCGTCCATGAAGTCAGTAAAGTGGACTTTGGAGGATGTAGGCACTAAGAATTCATGAGCCCAGGGCCACTCCACAGACAGGCAGGAATCAACCTTTGGCCTCCTGCTTTTCCCCTTTGATCTCAACCTTTTCTCTTTGAAGAGGTGGATGTGTTGTTCCTCACCCCACAAGAGGGTTTGCTTCTCCAAGCAAGGCAGCCTGCCTTCTTTTAATAATTCCACCACATCCTGGGTGCCCTCCAGCTTTCAGGCAGCCCCTTTGAAGTGCAGCCCAAGATGAGCAGATCTCCCTCACCTGACCCTGGCATTCACAGAGTAGGTGTTGAGTGGGCCCATTCTTGCCTCTGCCAGGAAATGCACCTCCCTTTAAGTGAAACAGGATGGGGCCACATGAGCACTGTGGTCTTAGGGACAGTTCCCTCTATTAGGGTTAGGATTCAAGATTCAGTGGCTGACCAGGATTGAGGGACACCAGGCAGGCAGAGATCAGGCTTCTTGTGTGTTGCCACCCCTCCTTAGCCTGCAACATTTAAGGACACGGGGAAGACTTGGAGCCCCTTGGATGCGGGGAATCTCTTACAAGGAGGTGCATTTAAGGCCCTGCTCTTAGAGATAGATGGCAGACACAGTCCCTTTGACTCTCCACCCTCTTTCTCTCTCCCTGTAAGTGTGGTAGAGCAACACTTGAGGCCATGAAAAGGGACCACCCTGGTGCCTTCATTACAAAGCCCTCTCTGGCTACCAGCCAAGGGCAAAGTCAGCCAGGTGCCTAGAGAGACATGGCAGAGGACAAATACAATCAGACAGGTTTTGGATGAACTCTTTGAAAACGCCATGTGATTGCTTTGAGTTGGTCCTTAGAGAAATCTTGACCCCAAACTGCTTCCATTTCCCCACCAAACTCATTTGCCAGAACAGCCAGTATCCAGAGGGACACGACTCTCCTCTGTTAGTCTGTCCTAGGGAAGATCCTATTCCCGTTCTCAAAGTGTCCAGCTCTGAAAACAACATCATAGGAGGAGGATGGGCCCAGAAAAGAGACACTTCCCCTTCCAGCATTTCACAAAATCCCTGGCTGCCTTCCCTGCGGTCCCCTGTGCTCTCTGTCCTCAC